TCGAAAGTAAGTAATTTGGGGTTTACATGTGCTTCAAAAGTTGTATATAAAATGGCCATTTTGCCAATTTGCACACATTTAAAAACCTTTAGGGCCTTCATCCCCAATTTACAGATACCCATAGTTTTGCATGATTTCTGGAACCGAAAATCAGTTTTTCGCCAATAACTGAAAAAGTAAGCACTTTAAGGCATATGTTTGTTCGTAAGTCATATGTTAATATGCTAATTGCAGTTCTTTTGCACCTGTCTAAAGACTTATTTACAATCCTATCGAAAATGGGTCAGCACCCCGCCCAAATGGTTTTTGGCGAATTTCTCGAAAAGTATGGATTTTAGGCCCTGTGTTGCTCGATAACTCCTATATAAACATGCATTGCGGCTTCGTTTTAAGCCCATTTTGAAGTCTGTACGACCCTTTAGAAGCAAGGGTCGGTTACGTTATTGGGTCATATATGGGCGTGGCCTCCTGGGTTTTCTCCACTGTCAAAAAATGTTCCAAACGAAAATCGTTTATTCACCCCTTTGGGAAAGGCTGTGCAAAGTTTCGTTAGTATCTGAACATTTGCAGGTTCATTTCCATAAATGTCAAAAATGATGGACTGCACAACTTTAGAGTTAACTTTAGAGAAAACTCATAAGTCATTTATCTCAAATTAAGCGTTAGTGTCCATGATCAACCCGTGGCGACATTGTTTACGTGAAATGTCGTTTACTTTAACCATCTAAAATCGATCGTGCCGTAATATATGGCCAAAGAATAATAGGGTCTTGGAAGTTCTATAGTTGTTCGTGGGTGCACCTTTTTGGGATTTAAACTTACCAGTATTTTTTTTATGTTATGCACCTCAACTACTGGCAGGGGATTAAAGGCCCTAGATCTGATGTCATTTCAAAGAAGAAGAGAGAACGATATTTAATCTTAACATGTGGAAAGTTCTGCATTGCAAGTGCCCTAATGATTGGTATCCCGTTCTCGGGGACTCTCAGACATGGCAAAAAGCAGTTGTGCCCAGTTAGCTAAGTCAGCAGTCAACGGAATCAAGCATACATGACAAACTCATTTGCAGTAACGGACCCCGATTATGGAATGTAATCCCCAAAACATATGCACCATCGAGGATCCTATGCAATTCAAAGCAGCTTTAACGAACTTCGTGAAGTCATTTCGGACGAGCCCCCAGCTCCGGTATGCAGCCGTCGGAATGGAAATCCTTGCTGGATTGGAGTGGTGATAAAAAACAGTTTTACACTGTTCCGGGGGGTCGACTTTTTCGATGGCCCATAGAGGATTCTATGAAGCCTAGAAAGTAACAAAGTAACAAAGTAGTATATGTACGATGATAATGCAAATTTGGATAACAACTAGGTAAGCCGCAAGTCTAATTCAAAACACACCGCACACCTTACATCGAACTCCAATCTGTATTTACTATTTGGTAGACCGGGTATTTTGGGGGGAAATTTTGTTCCCGGCACTGTTCTGATAGAAGTACTTTACGATGGTTCCAGAGGAACGGCCGTAAAGTAGCCCGACTTTTTGTCTCCCGTACTGGCTGACAATGTGGATTAAAATTAGAATTTCGCTATGCTTAACTCTATAAATATAATTGCTCTCGGAATTGAACAAAATCCTACTTATCTATAGGTTTTACTTACTCTACTTTCTACTCCTACTTATCTATAGGTTTTTTTCTAAATTCGTTAGAGTTTCATGGACTGGGGAAAAATAATCGGTACGTCTCCCTGCTGGCTGCTTGTGTAATTAAGCCCAAAGAAAACAATCCGAAATTTCACATATGACATAAGAACTGTAATAGCAGAAATTTTTAACCGTACAATTCCCCGCCACTGTTCAAGAAGCTATATCACTGTTTAAAATCATGAAGTGAGCACTGTACATCCAATTTAGCTATTCCTTTAGTTAGGATGATAGCCAAAATATAAGGATTTGGGGAACTAGGGTAATAGTCCCTAATTCTAAAAAATTTGAGTGAGTTACATGTGTTTTAATGACAACGATAAAGATTTGCAAGTATTACGCTTGCAGCGCGCACTGAGGGACTTCGTGACGTCACGAGGCCACGCTTATTATTGCAATAACGCGTTACAGTACGCTAGAGAGTGGTTCTTTCGGCGTACGATTCTTTACAGTTTGTCACAGCTGATTTAAATCTTAGCCAAATTGGAGACTACAATTTTTCAGTTAAATGGTCCTTTAATGTACAGTTTTTTACCTATTTTTGCTTTATAGATTTATCAAAATTATACAACAAATTTTTAAGGTGTGTTGCCCCTAAGGAGCGAGTAATGTTCAGAGTTTTAAAAGCTTCTTCATTTGTGTTTGGCCATTAACCTCTTTCCCCCTATAAACGTTTGTAACTACTGATTCCCGTTTATTAAATGTCATTATTAGGATAGGGTACCAAATATATCATAATAACCTGTTTTTATATCTGTAGTGTGTTGAAACCTTGCTTATTGGTTCCCTTATTAGCATGGAAATTTAATCCAGATAGTGTGTTCCATCGCGCATTTTGAGTTTTGTCTTCATGACCAGGTGACCTCCAGAACACCATCAAACCATATTTGTAGTTGAGTTGACGTCTTCAGGGAAAGTCAGAACACCAGTTGTCGGAAGAAAGGTGCTTCTTTTTGGGGGCAGAGTCCCAACCCTACGGCAATTATTCCGTTGTGGTAAAGTGAACCCGCCATTTTCCTCTCACCCCGGATTTTAAGAATTTTTTGACAATTAATTTTAAGAACTCCTCCATCAGATACATAAGAAGTCTATGTTAGCCTCACAAATTTACATGTGTAAACTCAGGGTTTTCTGCAATCAGTTACACACATCTACAGGACCTTCTCTCTCCGTAGTGAGAAGATAGATTCTTGTTGACAGATAAGATCTTGTAATGCTGGTACAGATTCAGGTTCTTAGTGTAGGAACAACTCTATTCCTCTACTTCAGATCTTCAGCTTCTCAGGGCAGATTAACTGTCTTAACACATTCCAAACACAATCCAGTTTGTTCTACTTTTACTTTTTTAGTCTCAACATCTTCCATTCTTATGTTTACCTTCTGGACTTTCTTCTCTTTCTTTTGTTGGGGAGATTTCTTCATCGTTTTGACTACAGGACTGTCATTGTCACCTGTCTGAGAGCTGTAACCTCTCAGCGTTGTTTTTCTGTGATCAATATTAACAAACCTCCTCAAGTTTTATCAACCCATCACATACTGATTCAGCAATGTATTCATCCTGCGATTTGAATAATGATTAATAATATCGAAAAATGATTTTAGACTACTGTTATCAAAAACAAATTCACAAAATTTGGCAATAATTGATCTATCACAGTATCCTTTCTGAAGTGACTACATTAAAGTTGAGCAGAAGTTCAGATGGTGAGTAGTTCATTAATTTGTTAGTTCATTATTTGTTTAACGGATGAAAATTAAAAATGTACACATGGTGAGTAGGCTGAGGTATGTTCCTCCCATTCTTTAGTCCGGTAACATTCCAGTAGGATCATCGAGTGTCAAAAACCCAGTTCCACTCAATTATCTCTGTATCTCTTATTCTCTTGTATCTTTTGAGAGACAGTGTTCACACACACCTCCACAGTACTGGCCCCTTCAAACAACTTCCACAGTACATATATGTTCTAAAATTACAAAAATAATTTAGATGGAAGGAACGTTAGTTTTAGATTATAACTCACAACTTAGAGTTTCATAAAAATTACAAAACAGATAAGAGATATTCATATAACTTATATATAAATTTTGACTTAAATTTAAATCGGTTAATAAATCTGAGGAAGGAACAACACAGTGATAAGTAAAAACAAATTTTTAAGTAAACAAAATTTAAAATTTTATTGCCATTTAAAAAAATTAAAATGACTAATAATAACAGAATAAACATATTCGAACTTAAACATCCGATACTAAACTCATGAATATTGGATATGCTACGAAATTTAAAATTAAGCTTTTTACTAGTATATAGTAATGAACTACTCATCTGCTTATTTGGTCACAGGTTTTTTCCCAGACTCCGTGTTAGGACCTTTAGCTGTCTGTACCCAGTTTTCGATATCTTAGAATATATTCCGCTTTTATTTATATCCTACTCTCGATTCCTCGCTAGCAGCCCGGTTAATTTTAGGTACCATTATGGGCTCATTAAATCATTAGGTCTTATTAAAGAACCTCTCACCCTCTAAGAAAACTCCGTTTGGAGATATCCCTTATTACGCTTATGTTATTAATGTACCTTGTGTTCTTGAAATCCTGTCACATTTTAAACTGTTTTTAGTCTTTGTTATTTTCGGTTCGCGGGGCCGATTTCTGCACTTTTACACTGGGTCATCATTCATAATTTCTGGGATAGAGACGACTAAATCTTCATTTAAAGGAACTTTGCTGTCTGACTTAACATCAATAGACACTTCTTGTTAAGGTTTTGTGAACACCTTCTTCACTAACATCATTGGATGTGACTTTATCACTCCCATTTTCTTACTTCTCTCCCCATACTTTTTAACGCTTACAGTTAGCATCACAGTTTTGTTGAACTGCACATTATTTGATGTTTACTGTTAAAAGTAATTGTTTATCACTTGGTCCTCGCACACTGAGTTTATTGGTTCCTTCTCCCCATCTGGGAATGCTTCCACGATTGATTCGGCGCTACATCGCCTTAGTTCCTCGGTTAGTTCTAGTTTTTCTGCACAGTGCAGATATTTTTTGTAGTGCGTTTTCACCGGGCTGGCCAGTCACCAGATCCTGCGATGCGTCCTTTTATAGTATTTTTCTTGCCAATTGTTTAATCTACAGAGATATCCATATTACCAGCATAACGTATCGTTTGTCCGTTTTTAAATCGTGTCTCCTTCATATTAAGCACACAGGCTTTCTTTCACATACCGTGTCGTATCATGCATTATCGCTCTCCTTCTTCAGAGACAGGCCTTTCTTTCAACATTCGAGTCGCATCATGCTTTATCGTCTCTCCTTCTCATAGACAGGCATTCTTTCCCAGGTAGAGTATACCACACACCAATATCTTTCTCTAACTCATTATCTGTTGTTATGAGCTGTACTGGTTCGTCTGGTAACAGGGGGTAGTCTGTGTTACTTACAGGCTGTATCCAACCTGCAAATAAAATAGTTACAATGAACAAATTAAGTGACACAACGTGTAACTGACAATTAAATGGTTAACTCAAAATTAATAATATAACTAAGTTAGAGACATAAAATTTGGGTGAAAAGAAATATTTAAATGTTAGTTAGTGACTACTAATAGTAATAAAATTCCATTTACCTGTTTTAAACTCATCAGTTTGAATAGCAACGTGTCTACAACCCTCCTGAACATCTTCATCATCACTATCTTCAGAATCTCCAGCATATTGACTGTCTACTAGCACCACATCAGAACCACCAGCTACCCCCTCACTCCTCAACTTGACCACCTTTTCTACCAACTCTTTTACTTTACCACTCTCAGATCCTCCCGACAGTTCAATCATCAGGTCTACTACTTCAACAAACTGGTCTGGATATCTTTGCTGAAAGAGTCTCATATCTACTTGTTCGAGTAAATACAACGAGTTCTCGTCAAATCCTGTGTACTTCAACACAAACGTGAGATGACTCACTAAGCAATCAAACAGAATGTTAAAATCTTTCCCTGCTATCTGAATTGACATGTCCATCTGACGTTTTGAAAGCTCAGCAAAGTCGGACATGTATTTCCGTAGAAATGCCCTTTTTCCTACATTCCTGGATGTCATATTTCTTACAAAAAGACCAACAAACTTGCTCTGTTTCAAGTTGAAGTATGCACGACTGGCAATCTCACAGGCAAACAGAATCTCCTCATATGAATTGTTCTTAAAGTTTAGAACATTTGTTTTGAAGAAGTTAAGACTCGTCTTACTTAGCCAACTCACATCAAAAACATGAGCCATCTTGTTAACATCTTCGAAATTTACTTTATCCATGTTTTCAGCTTCACCAGAGTACATTGCATCCACAAAACAATGTACTGCTTCAACACTAAAGTCATCCACCTCAAGGGAAGACTGAAATAAAGAACTGTAAGTTTAAATAAAGTTGCTTCTGTACAGATGTAGTGAATTACAAATACTGTAATGGAAACTTGTATTTTAAACAAATAACTTTATAAAACCTGCATTCTCATAACACTAACAAACATCAAATTTTCTCTCAGTACCTGACAAAGGTTGGTGGTCATATTTCCAATAACTGGACTGTTGAGGGACATTATGACCGAGTTTACCCTCAACACTGATCCATCTTTCAGATTCAGCACCAGGTTACCATGTACTGGGGAGTTTATCAATTCTCTACCAAAGTTGGCAGGAACTTTTACTTTGGGGATCATCACTAAGATTGTTGTATGGGATAGAATTGACTATTTTGTAACATACCTACAATGATCGTAAAATTGACAAGTTACTAATTCTGATAAGCTTCAACAGAAATATAATAACTAATTGGGCTTTAGATTACCAATTGGAGCTAATAGGCGCTAATATAGATTGTAAGATCAGCTCTAGAGTGCAAAACAGTACAAAGCAAAAATGTATATTGTATACCCTGACAAGACCCCAACATTGGCATGACTTTCAAAAAGTGATTCTACAACAATCTGAAACGAATGGTTCTCAATACTACTTTAGTGGACAGTTCTCTCAAGAAGTTAAGCAAATGTTAGATAGTACTGACCATATAATTAGCATCATCTCTTACAAACTCCACGGAATAAACTGGGAGAGAAGATGAGCTTTTGAGGGCCAGGAAAATAAAACAAACAGAGACAAAGGAGATGGCGTCAACCAGGAATAGACAAATGTGCTCCGGGAGGTTCAACATCCTGAATTATAGGTAAACCGGTAAATTAATTTCTCAACGAGTCATATACTGCGGACTGCGGAGTGATGTACTAAAACAATGGTGATCTACTTAAACAATGGTTAATTACATAAATGATTAATAATTATAGATGATTTTAAAATTCTATATATCCCGTGGTTTTACACTTCAATACAGACAAAGTTCCAGACAACCGGAAAAATGTGTTATTGATCTTGACTATGCTGATGACATCGCAGGAATGGATGACACTGTTGAAGGACTGCAAGAAACCACGGACAATATTGCGAAATAATGTGGGCTTGGGGGTTTAAAGATGAACGCAAAGAAAACAGTGATCATGGTCAGATACATCACAGCACCCACTCCCAGAGAATAGGACCATAGATATAACTGTCGATGGAAACTCTGCAAAACAGGTCACTCAATTCACTTATTTGGATGCCAAAATTACATCAGATGGCAAGATTGATAAAGAAATAAGTGTCAGGATTGGAAAAGCAACCGGAGCTTTTAACCAACTCAACAACATTTGGAAGAATAAGAACATAAGCATTAACAACAAAGTGCGAATCTACATCGCAGCTGTTCTTACCATTCTGACCTATGGATGTGAGATATGGAACACGACTCAAGTGCAGACAAGAAGATTGGAGTCTTTCCATCAGTACTGCTTAAGAAGAATCCTGAGAGTGAGGTGGTTCCATCGAGTAAGTAATGAGGATGTTTTAAGAAGGGCATCAATAACTGCCCTTGCTGACATAATAACAACAAAACGGCTGCGTTGGTTTGGACGTGTGCGCGGCGTACTGTATATGTGGTTGAAATTGAAATTTGAATTTATTTATGAATATAACATTATGTATTGATTGTTTTGTGGTAAATACAAATTTTTCTTTCCTAAAAATGTTTCTTTCCTTTCCACATTAGAAACTTACGTATCTCGTCAATATGGTGCTGGTATCGGAGGGCCTTTGCCTCCTCTAGCTGCAAGATGAGCCCTTGCATAAATGGGTCACTTGTAAGTGCTTTTATTATATATTTTATAGTGACCATCTTGTAGGATATCTCCAGGGGTGGAATCCAAAGCGCAACAGAGGTCAAATCTTTGGGAGGATGGTGAGTGGCCCCGCTTATCTTCAAGAGGACCCTGGCATAAAAGTCTTTGAAAGTATCGAGTTTATCTTTTAGCCATATAGGAGCAGCATATAGAAGTTTTGTAAGTACCACTGTTCTGAAGAGCATTCTGAGTGAGCTTGCATTCAGACCTCTGTTGCAGGTGGAGTTTTGGGTTATCATGTGCATTGTGCCAGGCAAACCATCATTGCTTGAGTTTGAAATTTGCGTGACCCTTGAATGCAAGCTTGTTGTCGATTGTTAATCCGAGAACAGTTGATTGATATGTATAGGTTATGGGTCTGTTGCCAATAGAAGAGATTCCGTTCGGTCGTTATTTCGGTTTTCACTCCTTTGCTGTGTTTCCAATCCTCTGTGTAGTTGTCTACCTGCTTGAGAATGGCTTCTTTTAGATTTTTTGTAGCTTTACAGGAGAATTTGTACTCTCGATCTGCGTCATAGTTTCGTCGGCACTATACCGAAAAAACCAGTCACATATCTCAAACGGTTTTTTAGATTCCCACATACGAACTCACGCACAAACCCACACACTTTGTGGGATTATTAGAATGGGTATATTTTCATTGTTTATAGTTCAAAAATATTGGTAGCAATGTGCAATGGATCATTTTTGTGACCTATGTATCGAAATAATTGATATAGTTCATAGTTAGAAAAACGCAATTTAAATAAATGTATTAGTAGCAATGGATCATTTTCGTTACCTATGTATCGTGCTCTGCTAATTAAATTGCAATATTTGATTTGATCGTGCCAATTGCATCACTTGACATAATCAGAAAAACGCAATTTAAATAAAGGCAAAACACAATTTTGATATTTATCACCAATTTAGTAAAACAAGTTCACCTAACCATGTGCTTTCGCGCCCGCGCGGCGTCGGATATGAGGACACAAGCGCAGAAAATTTTGGCAACCAATATACGGGAATTATGGGTTGATTCACGATGTCAATCCTTCGCAGCTCGGTGAGGCACAGTGGTGCATCCCGCCGGTCTACCGAAGTGGTTGCGAGAAGCATTATTTGATGCGCGCGCGACCCAGTAGTGCATCGCGCTACAAATATATGGGTGCCAAAATCGGTGAGTGGGTTGATGGCTAGAGCCTTTTTACCGCCGGGAGGCGGGCGCGCGCTACTGCAAGCGCATGAAGGGCTCTGGATAGAGCAATAAAATGAGTTGTAGTGCGATGCGTTACTGTGCCGCGCCGCGCACTCAATGAGGCTTCTCACAGCGCTTCTCACAGCGCTACTGTGCTGCGCCGAGCTGCCATGAATTGACATCGTCAATTAATAAAATGAGTTCTAAAGAAACTACTAATTGAAATGTTATCATTTAAATTAGGAAAATAAATTTAGTTATAACATGATCGAGACAGTTTTTAGATTTGAGTTATCCCAAACAAAATTATTTTGGGCCACAATCATAAAGTTTGCAGCTTAAATGGCCCGATGGCAAGTGCCACAAAGTAGCGCGCGCTGGGCCAGACCATTAACAATGGTCATTGGAAATGCACAACTACTTTTACAGTAATACGCTTATCCCTGCCAATAAGTTTTGCTAGCGGTAAAAGCCGGAGCCGATAGTTCTTGTATCACGTTGCGACCCCCACGGTCGTTTCACGATACAGGGGGGTCATACAACGTATGACAAGTTCAGGGTCGGCTAGAAAACGTGTTGAAAAATTCACATGACAGTTGAGTGTAAAGTAATTTATTATATCGTTTAATTTAATGGGTGATACTCTTTAAATATTTGTTTCACAACTTGCTCTAACCAGAGCCCTCTGATTTCGCTTGCAGTAGCGCGCGACCGCCGAAGGCGGCAAAGATTGAAGATATATTCTACTTGTGAAACAAGCGCGTCATGCAGTACGCGCATACACATTACATGGCTTGATTGTTGATGGCTATGTGAATTTCACAACCGTCGACGAGTCCAACTCGGCGCGCGTCTTTGTAGATTATAAACCGACAACATATCATGGGATCATGCGACAGGCTGAGCGCCGCCCAGTTATAAGCTTTATTTTCACGTTGGATATTATTACCTATATGCTTTTTAAAAAACATGAACAATAAAACTACTGCAATATACAATTATGTACAAATGTATTAGGAGTGCTTCCGGACTCGTTTGTGGTTTGGTTTACAATTACATTTTTTCTTTCCCATTTCCGTAAGTCTTCCAATGGTTGTGTGAAGCGCAGGTGGCCCAAAGCGTCACCGCTGGATAAAGACCCTGGATCTGCCTGCAGCAGCCAGAACCTCGAAAAAGGGCTACCCCGTTGGTGCCCTTTTCCAGTACCACATCGAACAGCAAGATGAAGCCTCTCCACAACAAGTCCTATCCTGCTACCTCCTCGTGGTGAAGACTGGAAACTGGATGAACAGTGGTGATCTCCAGGCTAAGGGCAGCGAAGGGCGACGGGAGGCTCACTGACCCCCGCGGTTTTCAATTATTGAATCACATAATTGTCTCCTAACTCTAAACCTCAAGAGAAGAGAGGTGCAGAGAATCAGTGACTCCCCCGGCTGTGGAGTGAACAGTAGCTAAAGAGGTATTGGCCGTTTGCCTCTGACCTTGTTTCTATGACCCAGGTAAACTGGACCACGCTCTGGTAACAGGATCGGCCCCCCATGCCTGGGGTAACGAGGTAGTCAGGGGGAAGGTTAGCCCCCGTAAAAGTGGAGCCTTGGCTCACACTCTAATCTCCCTAAGCTTTGGGACAAAAGCGTATAGTCATTTATTGGAATTGGTGAAGAAAGAAGAAATAATACAACGACAGGACATCATCACAAAACCCACTCTTACTGATTAGTAGCAACAAGTGTTCTAGCGGAAGTTGTTACTCACGTGGCCAAGATGGATAAGTCATTTAACGCTCAAGTGGCGCCCGGCGTTAAGTAGGTGTCTCACTTTGCCTGATGTGCAGGGGACTGCGCATGAGACACCAGCCATTGAAAAGTTTGATGATGTCTTATAATAACACTAGGGTTAATATAAGTCCCTACCACTGATTTAGATGTCGGAGGGGACCGGATTGATGACTCTCTCACCCTAAAACTCCCTAGGAGAGGGGTGACAGATGATATGCCGGCTCCTTCACCCGCGGCACAAAAAATAACATAAAACAACAAAAAAAGGATGGGGATGCATTGGTTTCTTGTAGTGAGGTAGCTCTGGTAGGGACATTTAATGTCCGAACTGCTAGAGAAGGTTACAAGCGCCTTGAACTCGTGACTCAGTTTCTGGAGAGTGGCATGGAGATCCTTGGGATCCAAGAACATAGAATTGTCCACCAGGAGCCGATCAAGATCGAAAAGTTCAAGGAGGGGGTTAGCTTGGTAACTGTTTCAGCATGGAGGAATGGAGCAGGAGCAGCCACTGGTGGAGTGGGCTTTCTGCTGACTAG